GCCTCCCAAAGTGCTGGGATTACAGGCTTGAGCCACCGCGCCCGGCCTCTTTTCTTTTTTTTTTTTGAGACAGGTCTTGTTCTGTTGCCCAGGCTGGAATGCAGTGGAGTGATCTCCGTTTACTGCAGCCTCCGCCTCCTGGGTTCAGACGATTCTCCTGCCTCAGCCTCCCAAGTAGCTGGGACTACAGGGGTGTGCCATCATGCCCAGCTAATTTTTGTATTTTTTAAAGTAGAGACGAGGTTTCACCATGATGGCCAGGCTGCTCTCGAACTCCTGGGCTCAAGCGATCTGCTCCCTTCGGCCTCCCAAAGTGCTGGGATGTCACGTGTGAGCCACTGCACTCGGCAGGAATGAGTGTCTTTGGACATGTGGAAGAGCGGTTTCTGGCTTTTTCTTCAAGGTCTCAGTTCAAAGCCTTTGACCATTTCTTGGAGTTGGGAGATGGAAAGGACAGAGGCTGGGGAGAGGGAAAGTGTGGGGGAGGAGAGCCCCAGCCCCCCAGGTCCTGGAGAAGCTGCTGCGCATCTGACAGCTGTGGACACGGAGGCACAGCGCAATTAAGGGGGCACCGTGAGTCAGGGGCTGGCGGAGGCTGGAACCTGGTCTGCCTGACACCAGGTCCAGGTGAGATCTTCTCCCAGCCACTTCCTCAGTCTCACTTTTGTCACTAATGCCCCTCCAGTCTGCCTCAGGCCCCCATCTGCTTCTGGGACCTCAGCCTCCTCCCCATGTTGCCCACCCAGACACCAGGTTCACTCCAGAGGGGGTTCTTCGGCCAGTGCCCCTCTGCCCACACGCCAGCTTTGGCTCCACGGGACCCCTTCCCCCGCCACCAATCCTTCTAACCTCTGCACCCCTAACCGTGCTATTCCAGGCAGCTACATTTCCCCAAGCTCCTGGGATCCCCCTCACTGTCCCCTCCACCATAGAGGTGCCATTGTGGAAGAACTCAGTGGGAGAGGCTTGGAGGAGCTTGGAGAGCCAATGACAGGTTTGGGGAAACTTGGAGAACTCCTACTTATGTGTTGAAGCCCTAACTGTAATGTCTCCTCCTCCAGGAAGCTTCCAGGACGCTGTCCTTCCCTCCAGACCTTCCTTGACTGCATGGTACTAGGAGTGTCTGTGTCCAGCTCTGCCCTCTCTTAAGACATCTCCTTGAGGACCTGGCCAGGGCTAAGGCTTCTTGGGGACCCAGCATGGGTGATGTTTGTTGAATGAATAAATAACTGCATGAGCTGGGAGTCAACTGAGCTGGGATCTGGAAGGGAGTTGAGGTGGCAGTCAGTTGGGGTGGTAATAGGGGACATGAAGTCACTGGGCTCTCTCAAGAGGGAAGTGGGACCCTGAGCCACCCCTCCCCCTCGCCCTTCTCCTCCCGTGAGAACCTTAAGGCCCTGCAAGGGGCGGGTCTCTGTCTTCATTCTTCCCCTCTCCTCTCCACCCAGACACCAGTTCCTCTTCCCGCTGCTGAGTCGCTGGTGCAGAGCCAGAGGAACGCCAGGGACCCCAGAAGCGCCGCGGAGGGTGCTGGCCGCTGCACCCGGTATCCAGGTGCGCCAGGACACAGCCCCTGCTGCTGTGGCTTTTGCAGCATCGCCGACACAAAAGCGTGGCAGTGGGACCCAAAAGGTAGGCCCGAGGCTCTAGAACTTGCACCTGTGCGGGGACGCCAACCAGAGCTGGGGGGAGCCTTTCAGCAGCCCCCACTCCCGCTATCCCAGGGCTTCCAAGTGACCCGCGTTCTGGGAGAGACTGTGAGAGTGGGATCGAGGGCGGGGCCGTTTCCAAGGCAACCACTTATTTGCATAGGGCCCGATCCTGGCCGAAGAGGGCACCCAAAATGTCCAGGTCGTAGCAGAAGGCGTTAACTGGGTCTCCTCCTCGCCCTCCAAGCCCGCTAGGCACCGGGGTTACCTATCCATGCCCCAGAAGGGGAAACTGAGGCAGCCGACCAGCCCGAGGAGGCGACCAGACCCGGGCTGCGTTTTACAGTTTCAGAAGCGGCTTGCGCGTGTCTGAGCTGTAACAGTAAACTCCAGCGGTGAAGGCGAGGGCGGCCGCGGGGCCGAGGCCGGGGCTTGGATTCCGGTGTCTCCGTGTAGGTGGCTTGGATGGGGGGCGCCCTGGCCTGGACGCTGCTGCTGCCGCTGCTGCTGCCGGAGTCGGACGGCTGGGACCTGTCGTGCGCCGTCTCCTCCGCGGATGTGGACTGGAGCGCGGAGTTCAGGGACACGTGCCTGAACTTCAGCGGCCTCAACCTGAGCCTGCCCCAGAACCAGTCCCTGCGGGCGCCCGAGGTGCGTCTCCTGGACCTGTCTGCGAACAGGCTGAGCGAGCTCCCGGCGACCTTCTTCTCCGGCCTGCAGAGGCTTCAGCTCCTGAACGTGCTGCAAAACCCCCTGTCCCGGGTGGACGGGGCGCTGGCCGCGCGCTGTGACCTGGACCTGCGGGCCGACTGCCGCTGCGCCCTGGCCTCCTGGCACCAGGTCCGGAGAGACAACTGCTCTGGCCAGACGCCCCTGCTCTGCTGGGACACCGCCGCCGGCTCCCAGCGCAACCTCTCTGCCTTCCTGGAGGTTAGCTGCGCCCCCGGCCTGGCCCCTGCGACCATCGCGGCGGCGGCGGCCAGCGGGTGCCTGCTGCTCGGAATTGCCATCGCCGGCCCCTTGCTGGCCTGGAGACTCTGGCGGCGCCGCGTGGCCAGAAGCCCGGACGCGGGCAAGCCCTGGGCTGCTCAGGATGGGCCCAAGCCCGGTTCAGGCTTGCAGCCACGGTACAGCAGCCGGAACTCCCGCAAGTCCCAGGTGGTCACCCCACCCCGCCCCTCCACTCCCGACTATGAGAACATGTTTGTGGGCCAGCCAGGAGCCGAGCACCAGTGGGCCGGACAGGGGTAAGTAACCCATGAAGACACCTGCCAAGATGGCGAATAGCAAAGCTCCACACACAGACAACCCGGGTTCAAATCCCGGCTCTGCGGGGCGCAGTGGCACATGCCTTGAATCTCAGCACTTTGGGATGTTGAGGTGAACGGATCATGAGGTCAGGAGATCGAGACTATCCTGGCTAACACGGTGAAACCCCGTCTCTACTAAAAATATTTTAAAAATTAGCCAGGCATGGTGGCGCACACCTGTAGTCCCAGCTACTCGGGAGGCTGAGGCGGGAGAATCACTTGAATCCTGGAGGTGGAGGTTGCAGTGAGCCGAGATTGTCTCATTGCACTCCAGACTGGGTGACAGGGTGAGACTCTGTCTCAAAAAAAAACAAAAAAAAAAAACAAACCAAACAAAAAAATCCCAGCTCTGCCACTTGCAGGCTGTGGGATCTTAGGCAAGTAGCTTTACTTCTCTGAGCCTCGGTCTCCTCACCTATAAAATGGGAGAAGACTGGCTCACATCCGAAATCCCAGCACTTTGGGAGGCCAAGGGAGGCAGATCACTTGAAGTCAGGCGTTTGAGACCAGCCTGGCCAACACAGTGA